AGAGCTAGTTAATTTTAAATCAATAATCTAGGTCACTGCTTTTTGAAGCTTGTTCACTGATCATTATATTACATTATATTATTGAATTGTGAGTTGGTTTCTAAAAATTGGTCAGGGGTTAAGGGAAATGAAAATGGATCACTAAACTAAAACAACGTGTTCCATAATTTTTGACAAGCTGAAGTATGTTTTAATTTGTTCTATAGTTATTTAACTAACTTCAAACTAAAATACAACACAACAATTTTGCGTGATAGAACTTATTAATAAAGTCACTTATCTTCCTGGTATTATTACGTAAGAGTAATAAAAGAACACTGTAAATAGGGGGGACACATTTAGTCGATATAAGCGCACCCAAGCGTAAACTGACATGAAGTACACATCAAAACAGTCTCTAGTTTTTACAAAAGGATTTTTTATGATGTCTTCTTGCAGATCCTAAAACGACGGTTTTACCATCAAAATGAAAATTAGATTTGAGAGGATGATGAAACAGTAAAACTTGACTAAGCCAGTGTTTATCAGACAATCTCATTAGAGATATAACAAAGTTAGTCGCCATGGCTGAGCTGTGGCCATGTCTGTGGTTGAGGACAAGATAGCCTAGACTGTAATGTTGATCCTAACTGAATAATGCAATACTATTACAATAACTACTATTATAATTACTAATTATAATTACTATTATAATTAACTATTATAATAATGCATGATCAACAGAATAACTCGCGTGAAAGCTTAAAATTGACATCCACGCGTGTATCTGAGGACATTTCAAAAGATAAAACATTTAATTTTACAACATTTAGTTTTATTTACGTAAATTTCCAATGTGTTATTCTCAGTAATCTTGTGTCTAAAGAGGTTTTCTGGGATATAGTATTTCCTCCCTTTTTTGCAAGGTGGTTTACAACGTTTAAAATAAGATTACTGGAAAATGACGGCGAATAAATGAAAATGGGTTATTTCTGATTCTAGATCATTCAGCTACAACAGTTGCTAAGTCATATAATGGTTTACACAGTTTTCGGAGCATTTTAGTTTCAAGTTCTAAATAAAAACGTAAGTTATCTACTGTATATTTTTATTATTAAAACTGAAAGTAGATACACCAAGTTCAGTATACAAGAAAGAAAGTGCTGGGCGAAACCTGGGACTGTCAAGACGGGATAATTATTGTGAGACTCGTTGAGGAACCTTCTTTTGTGTAGAGCAATCCTCGCCAACCTGGCGAACCCGTGTTGCTATTGTTTAACATTACTGTACAACTAAAATATAAAATGTAAATCATACATTTCCTGGAAGAGCGATGTTTGACAGATCCTAGAAAACGTCATTGACAGCTAACAATTGTATAGCCCTTGGGTTCGTTACGTTGATTGCTTCTGTGCACACACTAGTTGAAATTAAAAGAATGGGTCCTGAGTCCTATAATTAAAAATTGTTTATTTATTGAGTCTTGCTATGCAATCAATTAGGATAAAAGACCCAACTTCCACATATTTTGAGCCTATGTATCATTGTAACTATAGTATGTACTAGACTAAAGAAATCCCCAAACGTGGCTGGTTTGCATTAATTGTATTACTCGTGTGTTTCTAAGCTAATTCATTTAGGCCTTAATTCAGCCAATTATTTAAAAAAAAACTGCTTTCAATCTTGGAATATTTTTGAAGGTCAATGATTTTCATATTCCATGTAAGACAAAAAACATCGCTTGTTTCATGAATATTGTTTACAGCTTAAATAAGAAATCCTTGACCATTTTAGGAAAAAAAATCTTAAAAATATATTAGGTGAATAAGATAATTAGGCCTAAGTATTAGAAACTCAATTTCATCATTTATACGGGACAAGTAAAAAAGTACGATTTAATTTCATCAATTATATATCTCATTTACAAATATTCTTCACGATATTGTGTTCTAATAAAAATTTTAATCGCCATTCAAAATCATTGGCATGTGGTACTAATGAGTTTATATTTAGATTAGCTACATTTATCACGCAATAGTACATTCAGATTAGTCTTTAACGTAAACGCAGAGGTCAGCGGCTTATCTCTTATCTCGCTATGTGTCTTATCACTTCCTGATGTCAGCTGTTTCAATTTCCAAGGAAACCGCCCAAGTTACTCGCACGAGGATACAACGCTACTATGTACTTGTGTTTTGTATCTTGTTTATTTCCGTAGAATATAACTTAGTAAACGCAAAATATAAACATACAAACTCTACAAATATACTAATTTTATATAATACGTGGTATAGTAGTATGGAAAGCTTCGAATTTGCTTGAAACACGTTTTTATTGGTTACTGTTACAGCTATAACATTAGAACATTTATAAGTTTTTTTTTATTTTTTTATTCTGTTGTAGCCGGGGGACGACCCGACAAGGACGATTTAAAAGAAAATATCTTGGTTCAATTTGTTGTTTAGGAATGTATAGTGCTGAAACTCTAGGTTGATCCATTACAAGATATCAGATCCGTTTCGGAGATAAAGCAATACCGACTATGTTAAATCACTATCAAGGGACCCTTGCCTGTCGTTTAATTAACAGAATTAATCAAAATGTTATTCGATTCAAGTTGAAATTCATTTTAAGTATGGTAAATATTTTTCTCAATAGCCTTTATAACTTTTAAGGGATCTATACTACTAAACTATACTAGACAGTATGGTTGTTCTTGTGATATCACACATGCCATCTTGATCAATATTCTCATTTAAGATTCCTTCCGACATATTGTATTCTCTGTTCAGTCTGCCCCCCAGACTACAATGATCAGTTCCTTCTCAAATAGATTAGTGGTTTTCCCTTATTTACCTTTTATTATACGGTTTAGCTCAGGTTTTCCTACTTGTCTTAAATGCTAGAAGAGTAAAACAGTGTGCAACTAGAGTTTACAATTTACTCGTTACTTTAACGCAAGCGATTGAGC